TTTTTTTTTAAATTTTCGAACAACCCAACTTGTCTGGCGTTTTAACCTGAAGTATAAATATGTATTTTCAGTAGAAATTCAAAATGCCAGACAAAAATAAATAGTTTAAATTAGAAAAAAAAAGAAAACCAAGTTTTCGTTTTTAATTCATTTATACATTTTCGAACAGCTCAACTTGTCTGGCATTTGTATGTTGTGTTTATACGCGCATTTCTAATTGAAATGCAAAATGCCAGACAAAGATAAATTATTGAAATTTTTATAAATTTTTCCAAGCCTTCTTTATTTAGTTATAAATTTTCTAACCGACCAATTTGTCTGGCATTGAAAAATGAATAACATTTTATAAAACCGCAAACACAATGGCCCTATTTTTTGTACATTAAGATCACTGAAAAATGTTAAAAATTTTCACCTAATTTTCTACAGAGATACTCGCGTCCGAACATTAGAAACCGTCAGGCAATTTATTTTTATCATTTTCAAAAAAAAATTTCATTGTTTCGATTGCCAGACAAAAAGTAAATGATGAATTTTTTTTCTTGCAATCTCTCCCCTATGAACCACCCTTTCGGCTATTTAAAACCGTCTGGCGTTTGAAAATTGTTAGGTACTTATTAATGTCTATTTTTGCATCAACTGCCAGACACTTTAAGATGAGTGGAAAGCTAATTATTTTATGCAATAGGAAATAAATTTTCCAAATTTTCGAACACGGGTCGGCCCTTAAAACCACCCTTGTTTTCATTAACTAACTTACTTTTTTCAGACCTCAAAATGCCGGACATATTTCGATGACGCCACATCCATGTGCGCTAATTTATCTCAATATTATGAGTACCTACCTACTCTACATTGTCGTTCCAAATTATACAGGGTGATTCACATTTTATGATTTAACCATCGATAGATCTCGTCAAAATAATGTCATTTTGAAATATACACTTTTTCTTCCAAAGGCTTCCTTTTAAAGATATAAGCTCTTGCAAAAACTTTTTTTTTTGGTTCTTTATTTATTTTTTCTTAAACAATGAAAGCCATTTGTTTTATATTTAGTATGAAGTGTATGAATGAAAAGCTTTATCGATTTTACAAATTATTGTGAAAATAGGTCAATTATAGGCGTCCGTAAGGGGCTCTGATAACCCCTATTTTTAATATAATTTTTACGCAAACCTAATATATTTTTTACATTGCGATTTATTCTACAGCAAAAAGGTCGCTTACTATTTTTAAATATAATGCTTGGTTTTCGAGAAAAATGGCTTCTTATGGATTTCTTACATGTGAAAAGTTTTTTTAAGTTGGAAAAAAATCCAGGATACACATTTTGGAAAACTTTACATATTATGTACCAGCAAATATATTATGCCTCAACAATTTCTCATTGTCCATTTTCCATTGTAGACGTTGAACGGTCATTTTCCCTACACAAGTTAATATTAAGTGATAAACGTCGCCGTTTCACTAAAAAAAACTTAGAAAAGCACGTAGTAATATGTTTTAACTCCTTCCAATATGCCACGGAAGCCTTGTCTTAACACTAAGGTTTATCGGGTCAGTGGTGTCATTTAAATTTATATACATAGGTATTTTATTCTCTACTTAGCTTTGCTCTTTGGTAATAATACTATGTTGCAACATATTTTCTGTAAACGTATTAATATTTTCATTCGTAATCTGTAATCTGTAATAAGAAGTGGATCTTATATGGGGAAGGGCGAAATGGGCGGTGACTATTAGACGCCTACATTATAGCCATCTTTCTCTATCGCACGGATTTCTATGACTTTCTTTGTCGCTTTCACGAAACGACCGATGAACCATGGGGCCCTTCCGACCCTGTATCTGAAGTTACGTGAGAGCGATAAAGTAAGCCATAGAAATCCATGTGATAGACAAGGATGGGTATAGCGAAGGCGTCTAATAGTCACCGCCCATTTCGCCCTTCCACAAATAGGAAGTGGATCTTATTTGTGGAAGGGCGAAACGGGCGGTGACTATGAGACGCCTTCATTATAGCCATCCTTCTCTATCGCATGGATTTCTATGGCTTACTTTATCGCTCTTACGTAACTTCAGATAGACCATCGGTACTTTCCTACCCGGTATACTAATGAATAATGATAATAATTTATCTTATCTGTCTTAAATCTAAATAAGTTAATGGAAATTTTTATAAATTTGTTTTGGTTTATCTGCGTTATCTCTGCTATATTTAAACGACATTGAAGTTATACTTTAGTTGCCAGTTTTTTTACAAAAACTTGGAAAATAATAAATGTTTTCTGTTATAAAAGAGTGAAAATTTCGATACCAAGGGTAGCAGAATAAATAATTACGATTTTTCTTTGTTAAAACTTGTATTTATTCACATTTCATTCTATGGCGTAACATTGCATTCGCTGTGATAGGGAATACACATGTAGTGGTTTACCTATATATAGCAAAAATTGAACCTTGATAATTTATTTCGTTTTTATCAGTTTAGTGCTTGTGTTCTCTGATTTTCATTTATTCACACATACGAGAAAAATTTATCAATATTGTCTACGCGTGGGCATGGATTTCAATCTGGATACAAAAAAGTATATAAAGACGGCTTTAGAAGATCAAAATTTTCGAATTTATAAAATTACATTAGTCGGATCCGGCGAAAAATCTGATGGGTATGCTTCAGATATTACTTTCGCTACAGTTTTGGCTACTACAGAGGAAGATGTCGAGAAGACTATTGAGGTAGTTGTTAAGAGCAGCAGGAGAGACTTCATTCAAACTAACAGAAATGCATATGAGAGAGAAGCATATTTCTACAAAACAATTTTGCCTGCATTCGCTAGATTTCAAAAGAAAAATAACATAAAGCACAGATTTAACTCTGTTCCGAAGTGTTACAAAACTGTGTCAGATGAAAGTATGGAAGTTATCGTTATGGAAAACTTGAGAAAAAATGGATACTATTTGTATGATCGCAAAAAGCCACTGGATATTGACCATCTTAAGTGTGTACTAAGGGAATATGGCAAATTTCACGCCATTTCTTTTGCGTTAAAAACTAAAAGTAAAGTTGATTTTGAAAACTTAGTCAATAACTTTGACGATGTTACCTTAGACTTTTTTACTGAATCCTTCAAAAATTCAATTAATCGGTGTTTGAAAAGAACCTGTGATATCGTGAAGAGTATGGGATACACAAAGTTATACGAAATGTGCAATGAGATACTGCAAAAGGGTGCTGACGTTACTATGATTGACATCTTGAAAACCGTGGAACCGGAGTCAGCTATCCTTCATGGAGACTGTTGGAATAACAATTTCTTATATAAATATAAGGTAAACAGTATTTAGGAACTATTTTTATAATTATATTTTTAACAACGTGTTGTTTAGTCATGATTGTAACTTGTTGTTCTTGGGATGGACCTACCATCAGAAACTCTAGAGCCGCCCTGATGTTAATTTGGTCTTGTAGCTGGTTCTAAAGCCGCTATGGACGGAATCGCTCCTAAGACAATGGTGGTCGTTTGAGACGCTTCGTAGTGGTAGTGCGCATCCAATGCTCCCAAACGTTATGCCGTTCTTCACTGTTGCATCTTCAGCAAAGACTCTGAGAAAGCCCCATCGCGACTATATCGAAGTATTACATTAGAGCGGGTCTAGGGTTTCTGATAACGGGGATAGGGTGTCTGCCTCCACTGAACCTAGCCCGAAAACAACAAGAACATGTCAAAGATTCCTAGCTAAGGCCATAACTCAAGAAAACCATACTTGAGGTGATAATAAATATGCAAATTATATAAATAATTCTACACAAAAGACTAATTTGTAATTATTAGATATTTATTTGCCTACACGCGATCTTAGTGAAAAGATATTGGAATCCCTACTGTCGCTGACATGCGACACACTTTCAAGTTTGATTTCTCTAGTCAAAATAAACAAAAAAATCAATAGTAAATCAAGCTAAAACTAATTATTGATGTTCAAAGATTTCAAATATCAAAAAAGTCATTTCTACAGATTCATTTCAACCAATTCTTTTATATCTCTTGAGTTTTTTGTGTCGAATATACCAGTAGGTAAAAGTCCAAGAAACACAAAAATTTTTGGTATCATTATTCTGAACACCTGCGACAGAGGAACATTGTCGGAGTTCTGTGGAACTATAGTTGTCTCTATTTTCTTTGTTGGAGCAAGAGAAGTTTTGAAAGCTCCCTCTTCCTTGTTTTCTCAGCCACGTGTTGAGCAGCCGGAGATCTGACCGGAAGTTTCAGCCCAACGACATTTTGAAGTACCACCCCGCCTCGTTCTATTACAGAGGAAACAGGAAACTCGCCATAAACACCTAAAGTCAGCTAAGTACTTACTTGAGTATTAAATTTACGAGAAACATTTTTATTAATAACAATTTTCAAACGTATTTCTCTTACATCATTACTGAATTATTTTGCTTGGCAATGTATTCAGAAACATGACTTGATGAGTTATAAAGGTGTGCATTTCTTTTTTTTTAAATAAGATGCGAATTTTCACCCATTTGTAATAATCCCTGTTAGATTATACTGACATTTGTAGATTTGTTTTTTTTCCAATATTTGTAACAGTATTATGTTTGTTGTTTGTTTTAAAGTGAATTTATGGTGTATTATATAACTTTTTGGCTGCCAATAATAATTCCGTTAGGGGAATATGTTATGAATATGAATATGACACTGAGCTAGTCAGTGTCTTTTCCCTCATCATTTCTTTAATAATTAAATGTGTTGTTGCGAAGTAAAGGGCTCTTTAAGCATTTTTTTTTTGTTGCACTACGTAGAAGAAAAACAGCGCGAATCTC